CCGGATGTTAGCTGAAAACACCTTAATGATCCTAAAAATTATTGAGCAATAATTTCTACTTTGGAACTCATGTTGCTGTTCCAAAGAATGAAAAAGAACCTTAATTATTGCTTTAAATGACTACACAGCTCCATCAAAACAGCATGAACTAGCACTCACACATGAGCAAACCTATCTCCTGCCATTGTCGTCTCTATAGCTTGGGAAATCCTAAGGAAGTACCAGGATGATGATTTGTTAGAGGTATCATCTAGCGAGGGCCTGGCTGAGATGTTTGCAGGGTGCCCTTGCCCTCGATATTCTGGAATCCTCAGCCGAGACAGGAAAAAGTCGTCGCTTTCATTCTCTCAACATTGGGGTGGGCAGGGCTCACCTTAAAATTCAGGAATTTTAAGAAATTCCTTGTTTCTACAAGGATTTTAACCTATCCAAGGATGTTCTCTGTCTCCATTGGGATTTCAGGATACTGCGAGGCTAAAGCCTTGCCAATATATGTGATTTTGATACAGGTGGCAAGCCAGCCCAATTAAAACAAGGCGTGTTTCTTTTTCCTTTGGTCAGGATAAGCGCTTATTTTCAGATTCATAGAATTGCAGGGGAATAGGAAGTTTTTTAAGTTAAATTTCTGGGGTTGATTTCTGAGAGAAAGGGGCATAGTGGAAGAAAAGAAACTAAATTATATTTTGAGGACATGCTTCCTGCTTGCCTGTTTAGAGGCTTTTTGGTCTGATTGGTTTGATGCCATGCATTAGGGAGGAAAGTTCCATGTACCCTTACTGGTCCCTCAGAATGCAGGCCACCCAGCCAGCCCAGGAAACACAGCCCACAGAGAAAACCCATTCTTGCCTGCCTCTTAGAAGTTGGGGTGGAGAGTGGGTAGAATGTGCCTGATATCTTCCAGAGCTGTATTCACAGCTGGACTAGGCTTCCAGCCAGTCTGGGAAATAGCTGTCAATCTCAGACCTTGACCTCTGACATAAAGCTGATACAGATGGTACCACCACAATGCACATGCTTGCCAGCTTCTACTGAGGCAGCAGTTACTATAGACATGATGATAACCCACTTCATTTTCGCTGTGTTGCAATTAACTAGGGAATCTAATTTTTACAAAAGACTATTAATCAGTGATGATACCAGCTTAGCCGAGACACCAGCCCACTCTGTAATATCATGAAGCCTCAAAAAATGCCATCTCTTTTTTTATGTTGTTTATAAAGAGACATAATTTGAAGGAAAGGAACCATCTCTCATATTTATTTTTCTTCCCAGTATGAAAAAAAAAAAAAGAGGTCTATGAAAAATACTGGTAAGTTTCTGAGATGGACTCATTTCTTATTTATTGAAAATTTAGAAGAATAAATAATTTGGGTCAAATGACTTGACCCCATTTTGTCTTTCTAGACTCAAACTAAAAATAGTTAAATTCAAGATATTAGGCACACATACAGAAATTTTTCTTTTCTGTTCACGCCTATACTTGCTCACACCTGTACTTGTTTATTCCCAATAACCTTAGCCAAGAATGGACTCTTGGATGTTTGAAAGGACTAGAGGGTGGTGGAGCTGAGTCATTTATTTTGGCTTCTCTTGAAACAATGAAATACATTATAAACCAACAGGCGAGAAGTCATTGGTAGTACTATCTGCCTATTTAATTGATACCTCCTAAATTTGGCTCCTGGGATTAGCTGCTCTTTTGGAGATGGGTAAAACTACCAAATCCTCTTTCCCAGGATCTAATTCTCCCATGGAGACCAGCAAACCCATTGCACTAAACCAGTTTTTCGGCCACCATACCACTTGACACTGGTAATCCCAAAGCGTAGTATCTCCTATGCTCAAACTGAAGAGGGAATTAAGAAAATATTGCCCTGTTCTTTGGAGCCACCTACAAAAAAAAGTTGGCCTAAATTACATGGTTTGGTTTTTCTATAAAGATGAAATTCATGTAATTTATGGCTAAATCCTTACTACATTATATATTGATAATGTCTTCTCCTTGAGTATGATTCTATTCCTAATTCATGGTGATATTTTTGACTTTACCATGATTGGTGTCCTTTCCCCACCACTGTTCACCTTTGATAAAGAGGAGGGGCAAAGGAAAAATGAATCTGCAAATCTTCCAAAGAAGAAAGGCAACAAGAATTGTGTGGTCCATGTATTTGTGTGTTTAGCGTATCCACACATCTACCTTGAGGGGTTCAGAAATCAAAGTGACATTAAAGTTTTGGTTGTGTAAACTTCCTATAGACCAGTTTAAGCAAAGATTCATAGCGCAGTTAGAGCTAAGAGGGAGTTTAGGTACTATAGCACTCTTCTCGTTGTGTATTTAGAGAAACTAAAGTTTAGTCATTTACCCAAGGTCAATCAGCTTAGTGGCAGCACTAGAATTCAGGTTCTTTTCACTGCTATAATGCCTCTACTCATAATTGATTTTCCACAAGGGACACTGGGTTTGAAATAGTGTGGGAGAAGATTTCAGTGACAGTCCCCCTTTTTATCTCAAAGAGATGACTCCATTGTTTTTGGATATGTCAGCTTGACCTGGCAGCTCCCAGGGGGCCTACAAATTACATGCAGTGGCATGATGACAGAAGTTCCAGGATGCAGCAGAGGTTGGGCAAATGACCCAGTGATTTCTCTGTCTCAGAAGGATTCCAGACACTTCCTTTAAGGAGGCCAGTTTGGAATCTGCAGGGTTTTGTTTGAGTGGAGGCAGAATGTCTTAGAATAAACAATTAGTATTGTATTTAGTCTCTGATGGAGGCCTAAGACCTTTGTTGCCTGATTTATCTAGACATTCTGAATTTAGTCCAGTAATGAGTAAAGTAGGAAGAAGGACTTAATTTATTTTAATTAAAAAATGATTTTCCCCTAAAAAAAAACGTGACTAAAGTACTGGTGGAAAGGACTAATAGCATCTCTCCAAAGACTTCTATGCCATTTGAGAATTGAGGGTTTTTCCCTCCATTAAGTAAAGTGAATAAAGTGCTAATGAAAGGTGCTAATAGCAGCTCAAAGACTGATGTTCTCATCTTGAACTGTAGTTCGAGTCACTGTTTTTAACTTTTCCCTCCTTAGGACATGTTCATGGTGGGGAAAAGGATGGTCTGAGATGAGAGACTCCCACCCACTTGGCTCCCATCTCCCAGGATTTCTTAGAAAAAAGAATTCCAGGTTCTATCCCACATCGTCCAAAGCCTGGATGCAGTTTAGCTTTTTTGTCAGTGTAGGCCAAGAGGAGGGAAGGCAATGACTCATTGACCTTGGGTCTGGCTATAAACGCCTTTATCATTCAAGCCTCAAAGCCAAATTCTTTTTTGGCTGCATAGTCTATCTTCTTTACCTAAATCACCCTAGATCTTTGTCTAGGCCTGTTTTTTTCTTTTTTTTTCTTTTTCCGCCCTGTATAGGCATTAGCTATTGTGCCACGGGAAAGGGAAAAAATCCCCTAGGAAGAAAGTGCTTTAGGCAGGAGGTAGGGTTCCTACGCCTCATCTCTTGATACCACTCCCCCTCCATCCTGCCTCAAGTTAGGGATACTCAAGTGAAACCCTAAGCCTGGGTACACACTGATTGTCACCATTCCACCTACATCTTTGATCCAAAGCTCAGACACTATAGTGCAAAGAAAGAAATGGAACCCCAGTACTCTGGCCATGGACCAAAGCCGGGAGGATGTTGCAGACAATGGTGCCATTATTTCAGGCATAGTGGTGTTGACAGAGAGTGGACAGGGGCCTGCTGGCTCCACCTTGCAGACCTCCCGTCTGTGCGTATCCATTTCCCACAGCAGGACTCCCTCCCCTGACACTCAGTTCCTCTCTCCGTCCCTCTCCTTTTGTTCTGGAGTGCCCTAGCTGTCCCAGGATAATCGTGGCACTTCAGGGTTAGAAGGAAACGAGAAATATTTGTCTAAATTTCCTAAATGTTAAAGGTAAACAAAGCACCTAAAAGGAAAAAAAATAAGACTTATAAAAATATAATGGGGTAATCCCCAAACTTCCCACATTATCTATGATATATGAAATGTCAAAAATATAGTGAACTTTCTAAACATCACCACCTCTCCCCACCCATATATACCCAACCTGCAGCAGCCTTGATGCTGCCCTTTCACCTCTTAAAACTTTGCAGAGTCACTAGGTAATGTGTGTCGCCCCACCAACCCCACCTTCCCAAACAGGCACCCACTTGCAATTCCAAAGAGACTCTCCCAAAAATAGACATCTGAAAAAAGTACATCTGTTTACACTCAGTCTATCTGCATATTATTTCTCTAGATTATTTACTTTTTTTTTTTCTTTAATGTAAAAAAGATTGCATATTGGCAATAGAATGAGAACGCCGTGGCGGCTGTTTCTGGGTGGGTGGTGAGCGGGCTGGGTGTTGAAGCACAGAAGCGAGAGGGCTCAGAGACGGGGAGGTGTGGCCTCCGCCTCGGGACCGTTTTCCTCAATCCTTGGATCTCTGAAATGTCCCATCTCTTTACTCACTCCCCTCTCTTTTCTCTACCTTTCCCCGTTTCCACTACCCATCCGCGTGCTGCACAGCCCCCTGGAAGCAGAGGCGGAATGGATTTTTGGCATGTGTCCACCCGGGCCAGTTTGAAGATGGGTATGGCATCTGGAGTGGTGTGACATGGGACACACGCCAGAGCAAGCTTATTTGTGACTGTTTCCACTCTGGGGGAAAATTGTCCATCACTTCTGTGACTTTAAAAATTTAAGCAGTTACTAGGCTGATAGGTTAAGAAACAAATCTTTTGTTCTTGTGGGTTTGCATTAATATTAAGCATGAATATATATCATATATTACATTGCTTTCCTTCTGCTCTAGGGCAGACTGCACTCTCCTTCCAAACAGGAAAACTGCACAGCCCATGGGCTGAATCTTTTGAAAGCTGTTATTCCCTCACTCCCCACCCCATACCCTTCCCCAACCCCTTCCTCCCAGCCCCCAGTTCCTATATTAGAAAAGTCCCTCCCATGCCCCCCCCACCAGCTCACCCGAGGTTAAATAGATAGTGCCACATTCTGAAATCCATGCATCACTGCATTTTGCTATTGCACATGTTGCAGAGAAAAAGAGTTGTGCAAGTGTGCCTCCTCCCTCCTCTCTTCCCCTTCTCTCCCTTGGTCTCTCAGATTCCTGTGCTATTCCCATGCCGCCCGCGCCCAGCCTCCCCCCGCCGCACTCCAGACCCTTCACTGGTTGTGGACATCCTCTCTACGGACAATCTTGTAGATGATCCAGTAGAACATGTTGAAGATGAGGAAGGCCATGGGGAAGCCAATGCGGGATATTTTGTCGATCTTCTTGGCCCTCTGGATGAAGAGTTTTCGCATTTCCTCCGGGGACTTGGACGGCGCGGGAGGGGGGTTGGTGGTGGTGTTGTTGGTGCCCTTGACCGAGATGCCGTCCTTGGCCTGCAGACAGGCTGGGCCCATCCCGTAGGCGGAGAAGTTGAAGCGGCCCTCTCCGGCCTCGTCCTCCTGGAACAGATTCAACATGGGGCTCTACTTAAAATAAGACAGGGGCTGGGCACCCTCCCTGCAAGGCACTCCCCTGGGGGCCAGGCCGTGCCCGGCTGCCTCTCCCTGCCTCTCAGACTGCACCACGCCAGGTCTCTGAAGGCTTTCTGGCTGGCTGGGGAGTTCTGCCTTATAGAGGGGCGCCAATCGCATGCCAAAACAGATGCAAACCAGGGGATGGGACTGTGGTTTAGGGTTTGGAGACCTGTTCAAGTCTCCACTCTGTCACTTGCTGGCTGTATGACCTCAGGCAAGTCACTTCCTTCTGTGAGTCTCCGGTTTTTTTTATTTAATTTTTTCCCCCTGTCCGTAGGGGATAAGAGTTGCCCGGGTCATTTCCTCACAAGGTTCTTTTGACCATGGGAGGTTATCATTGAGTAGATACTCAATGTTGTGTACTAGATTTTGGTTAGAAATTCAGAGGACAATTTGGAGAGATCCCCTGCTTTGCCTCTGTTGCCTCCTTGCCTCTTCCCTACCCTGCTCCCCAATTCATAACTCCCCAGGGGGAGTGGCCCCGGGGGAGCAGGAACTCTGGGCCTCCCCTTTGTCCCACAAGCCCAGGAAGCTTCTTGCCTCCATGTTCCCACAGCCCTGGCAGCGGCGACCCCAGACAGACCTCTGGATTTTTATCAAGTTTTCATTCAAGGCCCTTCATGATCTGGCTTCAACTTACCTTTCTAGGCTTTCCCCTTTCCCCTTACCAGATACTTTGACTCCTGCCAGCTTTGCTGCACTTTTTCTCTTGCACTTCCTCACCTCCCTGCCTGCTGCTCACTGCCCTAAATGCCTGCTGCAGATTCATCCCTTTGCCTGGTCGTGGTGGTCTTGCCCTTGTCTGCATGCGGAGGCAAGTGTTATCTTTCTCGCCATGTCTAGCTTTGTTATCTGTCCATGCAAGCTCAGGGGTGGCATTGAGAGTCCAGTGTTTTGCTATCAGCTGAGCTGTTGATTCAGTCTGTGGCTCTGGGGAAGTTTTTATCAGGTCACGGTTCCCTCCTAGATAGTGAGCTTTTAGGATAAGACCCCTGTCTTGTTGCTGTGCAGGTCAGGGCAGACAGAGAACAAGAAACAGTTACAGGATCCACCCCTGCTGCCCTGGAACGGGCTTGCTGCGAGGGCCTCCAGTCTAGTCTCCTAACTGCCTCCAGTCTGCTCTTCCCCTCAACCCGCCTGCGTTGTTATGACACAGATCTTATTAGTCATCTTTTTCTTGGAACCTTTTAGTAGGCTGCAGTCAACTTCAGGATAATGCAGATTCCTACCGTGGTAAACAAGGCCTTAGATGACCCAGACCCTGTCTCCCTTTCCAGCCTCCTCGTGCCATTCTCTATCTGGCAGTCTGTGCTCCAGTCACCCTGAAACATTTCCATGTATTTGAAAGTGTCATGTTCCTTTTCTTTAACTATGGGCCTCTGTTCAAGTTGTTCTCTCTGCTTGGGAACACAACCGCCGCAACCCCACCTTCTGCTTCCAACTCCTCTTTCAAAACCCAAGACATTCTTTAATCAGAACTCTTCCCTGGGCTCCTGAGGGTAGGCTAGCTGACTCTGCTCTGTGCTTCAATAAGCCGTCTGTACAACTCTCCCTCTTGTTGTTAAAGCTCTTATCACATTGTGTATTATAATTCCTTGGTTAGCGTCTGTCTCTCCTGTTAGACTGTAAACTCCATGAAAGTAGAGGCAAAATCTGCCATGTTCCTTGCACCCTCAACACTACACATACGAACATGAGGTCAAAACTTAGTAAAATCTGTGGAGTAAGTAAATGTTTACTTGCATATCTTCACCAGTCTCAGTTCCCCCATCCCCTTTTTCTGATTTGTTTAAATGGGGTTGTAGTCCTAGCACCAGGAGGGTTTAAGACAAATGATAAATGCTCAAGAAATCTTTGGCAAATGAATGAATCTCAGTAAATATTTGTCTATGAGTAGGATGATGGTAGGGGGTTTGTGTCAGGGCCGAGGAGGGAGGTTGGGGAGAAGTTGGCCAAATTAACTGGACCTAATACCTGCAAGAGGGTCTGAGTCCAGCTCTGTTGCATTTGAATATAAATCTGCCTTTGCGTGAGGTTGCAGTGCTTGAAAAAATTTTTTTCTGGGCTCTAGTTCTGCTGTGGGGAGCACCAAATTAACTTTCTATACAGTTTTGGGTGAAATTATTCTGTGCTTTCCTCTAAACATGGGAGTAGAAGGAGTGGAGGTGTGGACTGAAGACACCCCCTCTGGCTAGAAGATTATCAGTTTTACACTGTGTCTCAGAGAAAAATTCTGTAGTAATGGCTGAAAAAGGCTTGCTATTCCCATTGCCACCAGCAGGTGGCAGGAAACGCATGATCAACTGCACCTGCAGCTGCTTGGGGATGGAGCAGGGGAAATCTGGTAGCATCTTCTGGAAGCCAGGGAGGTTGCCAGCAGTATGCCTGCTGAGGCTGGGGCTCACAGATATGGTTTCCTAATAATTTGCCTAATGTCGCCGGCCAGAGAATTCAAGGACCAGATGCTTTCTGCCCAACAAATGAGGTAACACGGGAAGATGGTGGGAGTTGGGGATTCTGGCCAAGATCACAGGCTCTGAGAAATTCAGGCATGTACCTAGTTCCTCTCTCCTCACCATCTGGGGCTTAAAAATCCCCTCTGCAAACGTTCTGCTAATGGGATGTTTCTGTTGCCCAAGCTTGTGCACCTCTTGTGTACAAGCCCCATCCAGAGCGCCTTACTCCAAAGGAAGCTGTTTGGTAAGCCCAATTCTGCATCTTTGTAGTTTCTGGCATTTGGGCCAAGTTAAGAGCCCTCACAATGGAGGTCACATTAATTGAAACACACACAAGGGGATGAGCAGGAGAAATGTATGCTAGAATGAGCTGGGGCTGAAAACTATCTCTGGTTACAAGGGACAGTGGCAAATGGAAGGATGCCTTCCCTACCTGAAGGCAGTTCCCGAGCACCGATGCCAGTGTGTGCCAGACACTGTGGTTTTCTGAGTGGAGCCAGAGTGTGGTTTTTAAATGCTGACACCTTAGTCCAGATTTTACAAACCCTGCTGGCCAAATTAAAGATAATTGCACACCGAATTCGGCCTTCTGGCTACTAGATTTTGACCTCCATCTTGGGTTAAGCCTCCATTCTCATTTAAGATCTAATAAATGCAGGACTGTTTTTATCTGCTTCTGGATGGAAATGTGGATGGACAGATGAGAACCCATGGTGTATAGTTAATGTTTTTGTTGTTGTTGTTGTTTTTTAGACAGAGTCTCGCTTTGTTGCCCAGGCTAGAGTGAGTGCTGTGGCATCAGCCTAGCTCACAGCAACCTCAAACTCCTGGGCTCAAGCAATCCTCCTGCCTCAGCCTCCCGAGTAGCTGAGACTACAGGCATGCACCACCATGCCTGGCTAGTTTTTTCTATATATATTAGTTGGCCAATTAATTTCTTTCTATTTATAGTAGAGACGGGTCTCGCTCTTGCTCAGGCTGGTTTCGAACTCCTGACCTCGAGCAATCCATCTGCCTTGGCCTCCCAGAGTGCTGGGATTACAGGTGTGAGCCACCGAACCCGGCCTATAGTTAATGTTTTGAGAAGAGCCCCAGGCCTTTGAGCCCCCCCTGCCTTTGTCACTGGCGCATCAGCAGTCTCCCTCTTGGGTTGCGTGGGAGGAGTGGATGGGATGACCTCTGAGACACCTGCCGGGAGGGAACTGAGCAGGAGGATCAGATCAAATCTGGACAGTGGCCTTACTCACCCTTTACCTGACCAGACAGAAAGCTTTTGTTTTCCTCTAGAGCATAAAACCAGCAGGTGTTTGCAGAGGGTGGAGGCAGCTATAGGCCCACCGTTCCATGCCTCTGCAGGGGGCTCCCTTCGCATTTTAGTCCATGCAATAGCACGTCCTGGAGTTGTGCAGTGCCCAAGCAAAAGGCCTGGTGCTAGTCAAATATTTTGGATATAATCTTTCCAAATAAGTATTTCTAGCAAATGTCTCTAGCAGAAGGAAACGCAAAAAATCTGCTAGTCTATGGTGGGTGAGTTTGGTCATATTCTCACTTAAATCTTTTTTAAGAGTCAGAGGCTAGGCATTCAATGGACAGTCTGGGGTAACTAACACTAGGGGTATTTTAAGCAGTCCTGTGAGGCTTGCTGCACCCAAGACGCTTTCCTCTTCCAAGGCAGATCTAGAAGAATGGGAATATCCTAACTCCTATGGACATCTTCTATCTTTGAATGTCAGCTTCCTCTCCATGGTAAATGGCCAGAAGTTAATTGAATCAGATTGCTGATGTTTAAGAAACATACTGATGGAAATCTGTGTATGTGTAACCATTTTAATCCTTGGCACTTGTGCGGCAGGATGAAAACTTAAAGCTACTTTGGCGTCCCCTGATTTAATCCTCACCACAGTCACCCATTATGGACATTTAGTTCATTTTACAGATGGGGAAACGGGTCCCAGGAAGAGGCTAGCTTGAAGTCATACACCAAAGAGAGCTAAAAAGGCTGAGTCTTTGGTCACAGCACACTGTCGCTGAGTAGACAGCTATTTTATTTATTTTATTGAGCTTTACTGCTTAATAGACAGCTATTTTAAATAGGTCAGTCTAAAACCTGTAGGACCTGGTATGTTGCACGTGTGTGGTATGACTTATCAGGGCATAGGGCATGAATTCTTGGTCGTCCTAATCTGTCACTGGAAAGACTTCAGGGCCGCCTCTCTGGAAGGCTTCCTCTTTATTCATTAGTTTGTTTACCCCTTTGTTCATTTGTTCAACAAATGTTTATTGCATGTTCACTGTATGCCAGGCATTGTGTTAGACTCTAGGGATATAGCACTGAGCCAAAATAGACATGGTCTCTGTCCTTATGGAGCTTGTAATTCAGTGGATGAGATGAGCATGAAACAATCACATCATTGAATGTGTCATTATAAATCAAGATACATTTGCAGAAGATTAGAAACTGAGTTCAACTAGTACATAGCCTTTGGTGGCAAACACAGCACCTTTGTGCGGATTAGAAAAAGAGGCACCGCCTTCTCTGTGCATATGAATTGGAAGTCCATCCTCTGGGCTTGATAGAGTCCCGAGCCAAGACATGACTTAGAGAAGAATGCCTCCTTGGCTAGGGCCTTTATAGAATACAACCTGCACAACCACACTTGACAGCCTTGTATAAAAACCTTAATAAGGAGCCCAGACCTTCACTAGGGTATTTCAGGGAAAGATGCTTCAGCTGAGAACTGAAAAATGAGTGGGTAAATACTAAGCAAAGTATGCTGGAAGAGCAAGCCAGGGAAGGAGCACAAGATATCTAAAGTCCTGTGAGTATGTTTGAGGATCTAAGAGAAAAGCCAGTGCTCAGAGAGCAGAGGGAAAAGTCGTGTGAAATGAAGCTGGAGGGTAAAGCAGGCTCTCTGGTCCCTGGGAGAAAGTCTCAGGGGAAGTAGTGAGAGACCAGAGCATGGGGCAGTTTGTCCCAACAGGCTGCACACTCTCTGGTGCAGAGCTAACAGAGGCTGGTGGCTTTTCAGAGATGCCCTGCCAAAGATTCCTTTATTCAATCCCTCCTAAGATGAGAGAACCCAGCTTGGCGGAGGGTCTTGCTTGTTGCCTCTTTCCTGGAGGCAGGAAGCAAAGGCCTGGAACCTGGCCATTCTACTTTCACACCTCACCTTTTGTGGTGCATTCCCTTCTGAAACCAAGCCCACTGACACAATGCAGCACTGCAGAGAAAACCAACTGACATCTCCCAGCCTGCCGCCATCTTTTGGGTACACGGCTAATAATTATCTTGACCCCACCAGTACTTACACCATTAGTTCTGCCTTTAGGTGTGACCTGGTGACTTTGGTGGTGTTACTGTGAATGGCTGGAAGCACGACTGCCTATAGACCTAACCAGGGCATTATCTATGGGAGGGAAAGCTAAGACTTCTAGAACTTTATTTCTTGCCTGGCTTACCCACTGTGAAGGATGGTCCAGTGAAACAAGTATCACAAGACAAGGCTGCTTAGAATGCTTCCGTTTACCACCAGCCGTCTCTCCTTGGGCAGTGACCCAAAGGCCTACCTTGTGATGTCTCCGCTTCCTCCTGAATCGGAGCAGCTCTTTGTGTTGTCGAGACACAAAGTTGACGGCGGCGTATTCCAGCAGGGCCGAGAACACGAAGAGCAGGCACACTGCCATCCAAATGTCGATGGCCTTCACATAGGACACCTGGAGTGGGGTGAGGGGAAAACACAGGGAGGTGAGAGCAGAGGAAGTGAAATACTGAGCACAGTGGAACGTTCTCTGCTCCTCAGCAACTCCCGCCATCACCCGCTGCTGTCTGGTCCTCACATGGGCTATTTGGGTGGAGGACGCAGAGGAAAACAGAAGAGAAATCCATCAAACAGAATGGATAGAGTATTGGGGAAGATAGAATGTGGCACCTACAAGAGTACTAACTAGAGGAGGTTGGTATATTTAGCATTATCATTTAGGGGAATAGAATGCTGTGTTGAGTTTAAGGATAAAAGGAGTAGAATGTTGTACCAGGCCTTAAAAGTGAATGGAGGGTATCAGCAAAAATGATAAGGACCTCTGAAAATTCTCTCCTCCATAAAATCAATGAGAACACTGGCAAAATGTTTTCAATGTTTTCAGAACTCTGCTAATTACCAAAAGCCTATAGCAATCTGAGCATTTATTTAAGAAAAGCAGCTGAATCTCAGTAAGAACAGCAAGCTTTGTTTAAAACAGTTTTACTAATGCACATATCATACAATTTACACATTTAAAGTATACAGTTTTTAGAATATTCACAGCTATGCGCAATCATCATCACCATCAATTTAAGAACATTTTCTTCAAAAAGAAATCTGGTACCTTCTAGCTTCACTTCTCTATTCCTGCAGCCATAAGCTAACACAAATCTACATTTCACATGAATGGAATCATATGATATGTGGCCTTATGTGACTGGCTTCTTTCACTTAGCATAATGTTTTCAAAGTTCACCTATATTGTAGCATGTATCAGTATTTCATTCCTTTTCATGGCTGAATAATACTTCATTTGTGTCTATAAAACATTTTGTTCATCTGTTCATCAATTGATGAATAATTTAAGTTTCCTATTTTTTTGGCTGTTATAAATAATGCTGCTGTGAACATCTGTGTGCAAGTTTCTGGGTAGATATACCTTTTCATTTCTCTTTCGGCTTTGTGGTTTTTTAACTTGCCCTGTCCCTATCCTGACCATCCTGTCTCCGTGGTAGCCTTGAAAACTTATAGCCTGCAAAGCACAGTGAAAACCAGCTGCCTGGGGCAGAATGGAGTTGGAGCTTCTTCAAAGTTCTATTCCCAGAGAATTATCATCACTTAACCCGTCTCACGCTTTACTCAAAGACCTCATTCACAAGACTTGATTTGGAGCTGGCCCAGTGTGAACAGCCTTTGTGTCTGGGGGCATTTGTCAAAAACAACCAATGGCAATTGCTGCCTGAGGCAGTTGGGGAAAAACAATAGGTTAATCAAAAGCTTAAAAGGAAAAACTGGGTAATGAGATGTCCGTGGGGGTTTTGGAAAGCTTTGACATATTCTTGGGAACCAGTGTGTGGGCTCAGGGCTGTGTGCGTGCCCAGGGAAGACCTAAGAAGGCCCTAAAACTCTTACCTTGGGCTAACCTCGATGCTCTGAGCCAGCAGGAAGTGAAGCCCAAGGCAAAGTAGTAAACTACCTGGCTGATTGTTGAAGGTGTGTCCTATCATACCCTGAGCCTGTTGGTAAAGGCTGGGGATTTATAGCTTCCAGGCATTTAAGGAAATCTCGAATTTTTAGCTGACTAAGATGCTGACTAACTGAGCAGAGACTTCAGTGGTCCCTCACAACAAAGAATATATATTTTACATAATTAGTTCAGAAAAGTCACGGAATAAAACAAAAACAACAATAAATCTTGAGGAAGGGGAAGAGTCTGGTTTCCAAAGTTGCCACATTATATTATATAAAATGTCCAATTTTCAACAAACATTATAAGTCATTCAAAGAAACAGGAAAGTATGACCCATACATAGGAAAAAAGCAGTCAAAAGAACCTGCCCCTGAGGAAGCCCAGATGTTGGACTTAAAGATTTTTTTTTTTTTCCAGACAGGTTCTCACTCTTGCCCTGGCTAGAATGCAGTGGCATCATTATAACTTGCTGCAACCTCAAACTCCTTGGCTCAAGTGATCCTCCTGCCTCAGCTTCCCAGCTAGCTGGGGCTACAGATCCGCACTACCACATCCTGCTAATTTTAAAATTTTTTTGTAGAGACGAGGTCTTTCTATATGTTGTTCAGGCTGGTCTTGAACTTCTGGCCTCAAGCAATCTTTCCACCTCAGCCTCCCAATGTGCTGGGATAACAGGTGTAAACCACCACTCCTGGTCTAGACAAAGACTTTAAATCAGTTATTTTCAATATGTTCATAGAACTAAAGGAAATCATGTCTAAATAACTGAAGGAAAATAAGAGAACATTGTCTTACCAAATAGAGCATGTTCATAAAGGATAATTATAAAAAATGAACCGAATAGAAATTCGGGAGTTGAAAAGTAGAATAATTGAAATGAAAACTTCACTAGAGGAGATCAATAGCAGATTTGAGCAGGAAGAAGAATACATGAAGAACAATCAGTGAATTTGAGATTATATGGTCTAAGGAACAGAATGAAGAAAAAGAAACAGAGCCTCAGAGACCTATGGGAAACCATGAAATGCACCAACATAGTGTTTAATAGGAGTCTCTAAAGGAGACAGAAGCAGAAAGAATATTTGAGGAAATAATGGCTGAAAACTTCCCAGATTTGATTAAAAAATCTTCACCAATCTATACATTTAAGAAGCTCAATGAATTTCATTTAGATAAATCATAATCAAACTATCAGAAGAATCTTAAAAGCAGCAAAAGAGAAGTGACTCATCAGGTACAGGGGATTCTTGCTAAGAGTAACAGGTATATTCTCATTAGAAACTGTGGGGTACAGAAGACAGTCAAGTGCTGAAAGGAAAAGATGGTCACTTTTGTCAAGAATTCAGTAAAACCATCCTTCAAAAATTATTAGCTGGGCATGGTGGTGTGCACCTATACTCCCAGCTCCTTGGGAGTCTGAGGCAGGAGGATCGCTTGAGCCCAGGAGTTTGAGGCTGCAAAGAGCCTGGGCAACAGAGGGAGACCCTGTCTTTCTTAAAAAACAAAACAAAACAATCCTTCAAAAGTGAAGCAGAAAACCAAAAGCTGAGAGACTTGCAGATTTGTGCTACAGGAAATATGAAAGGGAGTTTTTCAGGCTGAAATGAAAGGATGCTAGACAATAACTCAAATCCATCTGAAGAAATAAAGAATACCAGTAAAGGTATTCTTTACTGCACAGGTAAATATACAAGATAATACAAATGTATTTTTTTGTTTATAATTTTTTTCTACCTGATTTAAAAGACAACTGCTAAAGAAATAATTTGAAACCTATATTGATGGACATATAATGAATATATATGTAATTTCTATGACAATAACAGAGTAAAGGAGGGGGGAATGGAATGGAGCTATACAGAAGCAAGGGTTTTTGCGTAATTATTTGTTATGGACTGAATGTATGCCCCCAAAATTTAGATGTTGAAGCCCTAACTTCCAATGTGACTATATTTGGAGATAGGGTCTGGGAGAAAGTAATAAAGGTTAACATATTAACTGCCATGTGAGTTGTATTTAACTCATGCTAGTTTTGAGCCTGGGACCTCATGAAGCATATGTAACTCACATGTCGCTTCACCTTGGTGGGAGCCATGATAACTATTTTTCAAGTTGCATATAACTCATGCACAGAAAAAAAACAATAAAAAATAATAGATTTTTCATTAAATTAGAAAGAATCATTTTGTTTTAGAAGTTTTATTCTATTTTCATAATAAAACACTGTGGCTCCAAGGGCAAAATTTTATTTTTAATGTGGCAGTCAGTGTGTTAAATGAGGTCATAAGAATGGGGTCCTAATTTGACAGACATCAGGGAGGAAGAGACACTAGAACTCTCTCTCCACTATGTGAGAACAAAAGTGAGAATGCAGCCTTCTGCAGGCTGGGAAGAGAGTCCTTACCAGCAACTGAATTAGCTGGTACCTTGATCTTGGACTTCCCAGCCTCCAGAACTATGAGAAGTAAATTCCTGTTGTTTAAGCCACCAAGTCTGTGATATTTTTGTTATGGCAGCTCAAGTAGACTAAGACAGTGTTGTAATTAAATTGGTATTAATCTGAATTAGATTGTTTTAAAGTGAGATGTTAATTGTATTCCCCAGGACAATCAAATAACTAAAAAATATATAGTAAAAGAAATGACAAGGGAATTAAGATGACAATAGAACATATATATTTAACAGAAAAGAAGTCAGTAATGGAGGAATGGAGGCACAAAAAAGACAAGGCATATGTAGAAAACAAATAGCAAATAGCAGATATAAATTTTACCAAATCACAATTTTTATCACATTTATTAAATTAAATGGAAACAGACCAAACAATCCAATGAAAAGTCAAAGGTTGCCAGACTGGATTAAAAAATAAAATCCAACTCAATGCTGTCTACAAGAGACACTTTAAATTCAAAGAAACAAATAGGATAAAAGTAAAAGAATGGAAAAATACATTCCATGCAAACAGTAACCAAAAATGATCTGGAGATGATTATACCAATGTCAGAAAAAAAAGAAGTCTTTAAGAAAAAAAATCATTACTAAGAGAGACATTTTGTAATAATAAAAGAGTCAATCCATCAAGAAATATGATAATTATAAATGTCTATAGACCTAACAACAGAACCTAAAAATACATGAAGCAAAATTGTCCAAATTGAAGGGAGAAACAGACAATTCTGCAATAATACTTGGGGACTTCAATACCCCACTTCAATAATGAATAGAATAATTGAAAAATCACACACACAAAAAAGACTCAAACAACACTGTAAACCAACTAGACTTAAAATCACCTATAGAACACTCTACGCAACAACAAAAGAATATATATTCTTCTCGAGTGCACATGGAACATTCTCCAGGATAGATCATATACTATACATGAAACAAGTCTCAATAAACTTAAAATAATCAAAATCATACAAAGTATGCTTTCTGACCTCAATAAAATAATATTAAGAGTCAACAACAGAAGGTAAGTTGGAAAACTCACAAAAATGAAG